CCACTGCGTACGCGCATCTGAAATTCAAGCAATAATGTGGACAATATAGGACGGTTTTATGTGGTTTATTTGTTATTTCTCTGCTGCATAACGTAGTCGTAAGGTGATCTGTCAAGCTATTTTCAATGAGAACGATGTTCGTCTTCCAATGGAGTAGTCAATTTGACGATGTCATCGGACATTCGTCGAGTAAACCAGGAACTTCAACACCAGCGAACAACCGTGTGTTCCTTACCAATACATAGTGAAACCTAACACAGTGTTTGAAAGTGGAAGTGCATGTTGGGAAAGAACTAAAAAAGTAGAGGATGAGCAAAATTTGGCGGAAATAGCAACAATGTTGAGACATTTCCTTTCCTTTGACAGTTGTTTTCAATTGCTAAGTAAATCTCATCACATACAGCGATTGGTAAATTGTCTTCCTTACATCTGATAAAAGACTGTTATTTCTACTTTTGTATATCAATACTGCGATAAAATGGTATAGAAGGATCTATGACCAGGTTCAAGACGTTATATTGTGGTGATAGCACCTTAACTAATTTATTACTTTTCCTTAAGCACGTAACCTTACTATCATGTTGAGCAGATTTTCCAGGTCTTGATAGGATTTCAAGATTAGAAAGCTTCTAACAAAAGTTAAATCTCGTTAAGAAATTTTAACATCTTTAGACTCTCCGTGAATTATTCGTCTTTAGTACACCATACCAAAATTGCCTGCGGTTGAATTGCCTTTGAAACCTGATTATAGGCTGCAAGAAATTTACTGTACATTGTAAGTTACACTTCCCTACCTTCCACAAGAAACGGAGTTTTCGTTATAGTCTTATTTTTGCTGCTGTCAAAAAAGGTTTTCATATCGTGCCATACTGGTTTGGACTAAGAATGAATGAATAGAGCTCGGTTCGCGTCAGATTTGTTCCCAGTTAGACAGCAATCATTAAGTGGACGAGTTGTACGGCTTGCGAAGCTCTATTCCGTCTTTTGTGTGTTCAATTGAATGAAGAACCATCGAATGCTACCGTAGGCTTCTTGAGATTATTGATAGTCAGCGATCGACGATAACATGACTATACAAACACAAGTACACACTCTCTCTCACATAAATCGCTTACACGATTAATCGTCGTGATTCGATCGAAAAACATGTTGCTGGAATTCATTCGAAGTCATCTGAGACACGTTTTCAAAGAAAATTCATCACGGATATCTGATTTGAGGTCTGTTCCTCTACTCATTGCTACATAATAATTTTGTTTCGGTTATTTTTGTTTAGGAAAATGAAGATCTCACTTTAATAGCCATCATTCTTTAGACGATGTTGTTAACGATAAAGTGAATGGCAACAGTGTTTGCTGATACTGATTTAATACTTCATGGCACATGCAATGTTTTCACCAGTAGTCACATATAAAATGTTTTTGAGAAAAGACAAAGAAAGGTGGAAGTACATATTGTTCTCGTTTTTAAAGTTTTTAGCGACTAATGCTTTGGCCGTCAAGGAAAAGTGCTGCAATGATAACCATCTAAACATGCGCATACTAAATAAATCCGAAGTCTATTACTAGTTCCACCAAAATGGGCATAATTTTTGATGATTACTCATTATAGCTTATTCAAGGTATTGAATTTAGTCGGTAGTTAGCGCGAAAGTCAATCAACACCACATCGTACACCGTAGTGCATCAAGCGCTTTCCTCTGAGCTATGCGGAGCGCGAATGACAGCTCGCCGTTACCGTACCAGTACCGCCCCTCGAACATCTAAATTCTTCACTCAGAACATCACCGAAACGGAAACATCAACGTGCATCATACCAATACTTTAAAACTTTTATTCGCTTTCAAACTCTTCCTCTTTCAACACTTTTTTTCAATGGAGCAGAAATTTTCCATCGACATGCTATTGCAGCCACCAAGTTTCGGAAAGCCAAAAGAGGTAAGTCTTACAGAGGTCTCGCTGTCCAGTGGTCTAGTATTATTTGTTGTTAGCTATTCTAATTAGAAGAGCTATTTTATTAGCAGAAAATTCATTGAAGGAACAAGAATCTCCAGAGCGATCACGCAGTTGTTGCTCATCGGAATCAGCAACATGTTCAAACAATGAAACATCTTCCCCGGCTAACGTGACTAATGGTAATTGTATTTAATAAACACTTTCGATAAAGAAAATAAAAGTGTCGAAATGCTCTTGACGGCTAGCCAGCATACAAGTAGTTCTTTATTTAGCTCCATGCAATATTGGTTCCGATTGAGGGAATTCCTTCCATTTAAATTAGGAACTGTACATTTTTCAGTTCTAAAAAGCCACTTTTATAACTACGTTTTATTGCTTCTATTAAGTGTATGTTTCTAAGAGAGCATTCATCAAAGTTTTTGGAAAACTTTCCCTGAAAAATTGAATGAGACCACCTGAGCTTATTTGGAATGCCTCCCAGATAGAATCCACATAATATAACGAATTGGAAAAGTTTATTTTTATTATAGCTATATATAAAAAAGGTTTTTAATTTTTATTATTTAATTTTTTAAGGGAATGATAAAATACCCATAAGGAAAACACCTGTGCTTAACCAAGTATCGAAAACTCAAAACAATTCATGAAAATCTCTTGTTGATAGACGTTTTTCCAATTCTAAACTTGTTTTTCCATTTATACCCAGGAATATTCGGCCATCCGACATGGCGCAGTGCTGTCAACTACATGAATTTCACCCAACAACTTGTCGCTGCACAAATGGTGAACGCATCACATGCAACACCGTCACTGCAAACACAAATCACACTATCTGGAAGTAAGCTATTCTTACACTCATATTAACATTTTTCATCATTCTCAGTTTGTTTCGTCAATGTGAAGAATAAATTAAAAAACCATTTGTGAATGAAAAGAATGGTAAACGCTTTTCTACTTAAAAACAGCAAGAAGAAGGGTACGTCGAAGAGAAAACGCGGTTCGAGTACCTAAACTCTGGTGACGAGTGCTTATACATGATGATTACGAAAGAGGCTAGAAAGTAATCATTTATGAGTATCTAAAATTATAGATACCAGCTAAGGAGTCATCGTTATCTTTTGTTGTCTTTCCAGGAATACGCAAATAAACGAAGTAATCTGGTTAATCTCATTAGTCGTATCGTCTAATGCTAACAACATACTACCACTGTGAGTATTACACTCGACGTTCACGGTTGACGTATAAGGGATTATCTACACTGGAAATATCTCCTATTACCGTAATCATCCTTAAAAATGTAATCTATACAATTATAGATTAAGATTGACAGGATTATTCGGTCGCCATCTATCAGCTATAAATAGACATCACTGGACTACAGTTACCGTAGTATGCTTAGGCAGTGTTTGAAAGTAACGTCTTTACTAAAGATGAGTAGTATTTGGTCATAGTGAGAATCCCTTATGATTTAGGCTTTAATATGTTACATTTTAGATTAAACTTAATATTCTCGATGGGGCCTCTTCGTTCTAAAGAACTTTCATTTGGTGGTACATTTAATGCCGAAGAAGCTGACATCTTCGAAATTTTCAAGCATGATTTATTATCGACCGTTTTTTCATAAATATCTTTTCAGAAAAAAAGTCTGCTGAAATAATATTCAAATTATTTGAAATAAGTGTTTTGCATCTCAATGAAGTCAAATGTTTTAAACAAAGAATATTAAAACATTTCAAGCATTCGTTCACTTTCATAATCCACTTCAGTCCAACGGATTTCTTCTTTCGTAAGCGTGGCGGGTTAGAAAATTCCTGGAGCAAGTGTGGGAGATAGCATGTCTACCAGGCATAAGTTAGCAAAATAATAAAGACTCAGTTCCCAACATCGACTTTCTATTAACCTCGGCGATGGATTATAAATCTGTCGTTCTCTTTTTTTACAGCAATCACGAGATTGTTATTCAGCACACGTTCACTTTTACAATAAAGACTTATTTTTGAATAATGATTAGTAAAGCTTTAGACAATCAATGTGAACTTGTGCTTGCACACGTAAGTAGGCTATAGTACGCTTCGTAAATTGTCCACTTACGAGAGAATTAATTGAAAAAGTACTGTACATCCACTAGAAATGACAATCGCCTATGAGATATTCAAGTTACTTATAAGGCGCATTATCTCGTTGATAATCGAGTTATCCATGCAGCTACAAGTAATATCTTTGTCAGTTTTCGTCGGGAACTAAAGACAATAGGCAAACTTCGCTTACTCAAAGGATATAGATACCATTATACATTTTAGCGTAAAACCATTTATTTGCACTTTTTTCGCCGAGAAGCCAGCCATTTGGATTTTATCAGTTGGCCTTCTCGTGATCAACGTTTGTTCTTGATAGGAACTTCAGATAGAAATGCCGAGCTCTTTCTCGGCCTGAGAGACCTTAGTGTGGATTTAACCATAAGTGCACATTGTATCCTTGCACAAAGAATACCTCTACAGGCTCATTGCGATGAAACAATGGTTGGGATGGAAATGCTATGCACGAAGAACTTGAAAGAAATAATGCGAGTATGACTTGTGCTACAGTACTGTGACTGACTGGATACTAATTGCCTACTGGAAATAAAGTGTAACCTAGAAGAAATATTCTCTTTTCCATTCACTAATGGAGGATCGTATTTAAAGTGTGCTGTGTAAAAAGCTGAACAAAAAAAGAGGTAGTTCAATTGCACTGTTCCCTGTTGTTTGATAGCGCCTTGGGCTTTTTTTTCGCGTTCTATGAGCCGCTAAATCAGTGTCTATGTTTTTCGAGGAAATCGAACTCGTCGAGTGTCGGATTTGTAATGCGATCAGAGCGGGTTTGCGGTATTTTTCGTTGTCAACACACACTTCAAGTCGCTCTCTTAAACAATTATCAGAAAGGGAGCCGCTAAGCCGTCCGCCAGTCCGTACAGCAACCATCCATCCACACACACTTGAGCGCTATCGTATACACGTCTCACATTAAGCACCTTGCGCTATCTCAACGAGGTAACGACAAAACTCAATGGAAACGGTCGTGGATCGGAGAGTGATCAGACATTTTGTGCACCGAAAGAAAACCAATACGATCAAAAATCTAATCAACAAATTACCGTATTATCACCAACGATTTGCACAGCAGTTATCTCAAAAACCATGCTGGTTAAATAGGAGATTCGTTTCGATTTAGATTTTCTATTCTTAATGAAATAGTGTTTTTCGCATAAAATCTTGCTATTGCAGTAATAGTAAGGTTAAGTTATACAATGGAATGAACATATGAATCATAGCAACTAGAAAACTGTCACTATTCACGACTGAAAAGCGCTGCTTTTTTTTGAATGTTGAAATTAAACTACTCCAACCGTCGAGTTTAGAATGAATAAGAGAAAAACACAAATTTCCACATTACTGGAAATCAAAGACGCTGACCAAAATCGTTAGTGCCTATAAAAGTTTCTTCGTCTAAAACGATTTAAAGCAAAACGATGGATTACTACTGCATAGCATTAGAACTTTGCTGGAATGGCTCTTGAACTCAAGTTATTGAGGAATACAAGCAATGCTCCTCATATTCAGTGAAGTTCACTGATTTATTGAGTAGTTAACGTTTTTGCTGCTGGGCGTTTTTGCTATAGTCTCTTGTTATAATTAAACATGAACTAAGAAAGTATTCCGGCGTTTTAAAGTTATTCGTCTACTTAAATTCGGCGCTTATTTATCAGATATGGCTCACTCTACATGACTTGTGTGTCCTTAAAAGATTTCATTCTACTGCTTTTCCAGTGCACAGAACTTCTCATGGCTTTTGGGATCCATGTATTTCTTGGCTTTATCCATATTTACAAAAAACGCAACAAAAACGCAAAGGAGGTCAAATTCGGTAAGACTTGTTTGAAATTAAATTAAAAACATCCCACTATTACTCTCATTTTTGATGTGCTATCGTCTTTATCGTTTATTTAGATTCACTAATGAACAGACGGATGCTCTTGAGAGCAAATTTTACTCACATAAATACCTAAGTCCACAAGAACGAAAGAAATTGGCGAAATCGTTGAGTCTCAGTGAACGTCAGGTTTGCTAGTTTTGTTGTACTTTGTAGTTTCACTACTTTCATTTGCGAATCTGAGCTTGAAATTCGGTTGTATTTTGTGTCATCTCTGTGTGATCACTTATTTGGAGATGTTCCGCGTTGTAGCAGATTAATACGTATTGATCGATAATGAAAGTGTGCCAGACGTCGCCAAGTCACTGTTACCATACGGTATCATTATCCCCTCTTGAAATAGTGCAGTACCAATTGACTTCAGTTAGTAAACAGATAATGATTGATGAACGATCCGATGTTAATGAACCACTCAAATTATCTTGTATTCAGGTCAATTAGGTCATTTCATTTAAAACTCTCGTCTCTTATGTGGCAAGGATAATGAAAAACGAAAAGTGAAATGATGGAATGAAATCAACGTAATGAAACGTAGTGGAAAAGAAAAAAACTCCTAAGCTGTTGTCTTTCATACATTACTGTAACTCATAAGGAAAATAATATCGGACTTGCTTGTGACGTCGACGTATACAAATCTCATCCGTAATAAGATGATAACCACAATGATGCTGAGATATTTTCAAAACACTGGACTGCAGGTGTCTGCGGTGGGGAAAGAACGCGCTATTACCCTTTGCGGGGGATTACGCGTTCACCACCACACCATATGGGTCTTTCGTTTCATCTGTCTCTCAGCTAGTTCTATCGAACATCGCCATCAACAACAATTCGTCAGCGGGATTGATCTGGGGAGCCTAAATCAGCATTGAACCTGAGTTTGTGGTTGAAATCACAATGTTAACTTTTTTTAATTTCTGCCTTAAGTACTGCCTAGTACAATTTTTACGGCAGAGTTTTGAAAAAAAGTTAACGTATAATCAGAATTCTAACTTTTTCTTCATAAGTTGGGTAAAATTTTTCACGATGGGAGAAAATTTCGTTTCTTTTACTAAAAGAGAAGAAGAAAGATAAACGAAAAACTTATTTCATCAAAACTTGTTAATACATGAGTATTATTAAGGAAAAGAAGGAATAATTCTTACTGTTGTTGTTATAACTTTCTTTGAATCTTACTGACTGACAGGTGGAGAAAAAAGAATGACGAATTGAAATATGAAATCATTTCTGGAGCATGTAATGAACTGTTCGACCTTCATTGCCTTTCACAATAGCGTGTATCGGGTTTTGTCCTCTTCTGAGTAAACTTATTAGGCATTAGTCGTGTCCAGTCGATGAATAGCCTTTATTGTTTGAACGGCTTCGTAATGGCGCAACGATTGTTGATGAGCCTCATATATTTTGTCGGATCGGATTTCGTCAATCGAACTCACTGATCACTTACTCCACGCTAGCGTCATCGTCGTTAGGTAAACATTTTAATGCATCTTGGATGACTCCATTGAAAGAAGACTGTTATCGCGCTTGTCATACAGAAACCGTAAATGAGAGCTGTCAAACTGGTCTTCACCTTCGATAGTTTTAAACAACAAACATCACATTAACCAACTTTTTTGGCTCAAAATCTCCGTTATAAGCAATTTTATAGATGAAGGTTCCAAATCTTACCATAGAGACCGCAATCGATTACGATATATGGATCTTTGAAATGAAGTTCGTCCACATTTTTCTGCTACAACCACATCGCCCTTTCTTCCAGTTTTAGCCAAATAACTGATAAAAGTTAGCAGTGGAACCTAAAACATTCAATTATGCGTCCCTCAAAGATGTACTTTGTAATCTACTTTATTTGTAACATCATTCATACGAATGAAAGCATTTGTGGGTTGCACAATAACTTGCGGTAGCATACCGACCTATCAAGTCAGCATTCTTACCCTCCCGGACAAGTCTGGTACCAATTTGTGACACCTTCGAGCTAGAACTTGTATATCCAAGGGTGCAAATCTTAGAAAGTGCTATGCATATCGTTTGTCAATCGCCTACTTCTTTTGAAATTCATGATACATTAAATAATACATCAGTTTAACCTTATGTGTAAATTTAGTATTATATGATTTTCTTCGTATTTTTGTTGAGCAAACGCGAGGTGTTACTATTCTTTGTTCACGATTTCTAAGCTGACGTTTCGGCGAATTTCGCCTTCTTCAGAGCCGCTTTCTATGAGGTTTCCACTCTGGATTAATTCCAGAAATCCGAAAATGAGCCGCAGGGAAGAATGCCTCATTATCACGCGTGATATAGGGCAGTATATAAAACTGTTTTTCTGATATGAGGGGCACATTATACTTCCATGTGATTTCTGTGCGGTTGGTCTCTACGTGACATACTTTGCGGAAACCTCATAGAAAGCAGTGAGTGTGCAAAGCTGTGTTCAAAGTGATTGAAATCTTGGTTTGGAGTTTCTTTGTTTGGTTATGGAGGCGTCTGACCGAGTGGATTGCTATCAACTTGACCTTTCCAGGCTCTGAAGAAGGCGAAATCCGCCGAAACGTCAGCTTAATCGTGAACAAAGAATAGTAACACCTCGCGTTTGCTCAACAAAAATACGAAGAAAATCACTTGATCAATGCCGAGGTTAATAGAAAGTCGGTCGTGGCGTTTAGTATCATAATTATTTGATCGGCTTAAAGGTGGTATCTGATTTCGATCGTCAATTTAAAGATCTCATGCCTCGTAACTGAAACGCAATTTTACTAACTATTTTAAGAGCTTCAGTTTTCATTTTAAGAGCTGTTAAAATCGGCGCCTATTTGAAAAGGCTGGAATTTTCTGAAATAATCCGTCGATTTCGTGATGTCCGCTTCTTCGATTTGCTCTTTTTGCCAGGATTCAGAATGTTTTGATGGCTTAATCCGCATGCAGCCACCTAACAGTCGCCGTAACGTCTGCTGCAGAAACACTACCCTCAGGGGCTTCTTATGGGTGAAATCTGGGTCAGCAGAATAGAAAGGGTGTCGTCAGTTATCTTATAGGATCCAATTTCATCGTCAATGTCACGATGCCAACGGGAAATGAGTCGTTTTTTGCTCTGTTAGAAAAGTACAGCGATGAAATGGAGATTTCATGACGACATCTTTTTTTCTAGCAGTCACTCAATTCATGTAACACCCCTTTGTAGAGCTTTCGTTTCTTCACTCTACTTCAAACGGCTAATTATCATTGTTGAATCTTTTTCTTTAATAAGCAGACACGAGGTTGTTAATATAGAATTTATTAGATTACAATAGTTGACGTTTCGGCAGTTTCGCCTTCTTCAGAGCCTGGAAAGGTTAAATTGAGATGTGATCTACTCAGCTAAACACTTTCATAACCCTAGCAGATAAAACTGGACAAATCGATTTGCATTCGCATAAGAAACATCTTCATTCAAACAACTACCGTTTATTTGTTGTTTTTTGGATAGCCGCCGCACAGAGTAATACATGGGCGACAACTGTGTCTGTGTCAGGTCAATGGTAAATTATGCAGTTTTTTGTTTTACATAGACGGTCGTATAGGCGGTTGCGAACTAGCTGGCGTCTTAGTGTCCGGTGGTATTTCTATCACTCTTACGGAATTCTCTAGACCTGCCTTATTAAGCAACGTTTTATAGCTGCACTTATTTCGTTTGAAATAAAGGGCAACAGGAACGGAGCCTTGTTTTCGCTAGAATTTTCGCACTGGGGCGTGGGAGTTCCTCGATGCCGATGCCGAGAAGGTACAGTTTCGTAACCATTTGAAATGGGCTATTTGCCGCGCCAGTTTCGAGGATTCTTCCCTCTGCTGTCTACCTGTGCACACGCTGGCGGCGGTTCGAAACATATTTCTTATAAGCGCCCTTTTAGTGTGTTAGCCCGTTGCCTTTATGTCTAAAGTGGAAGCACCAGTAATCGATCTCACGCCATTACTCTACTGTAGGTATATAGATGACTGTTTTGTCATCTGCTCCACACAAGAGGAGATGGACAAATGCTTTGACTTATTGAACGAACAGTCAGAGTACATAAAATTCACCCGTGAGAAACCGAAAGAAAACTAGCTTCCATTTCTAAACCATCAAATCAACCTGTACGAAAACGGCTACAACACAAAATGGTATCGAAAGCCAAGCAGTAAGAATATAGTGGTTCATTACCGCTCCTCTCACCCCTCACACACTAAAAGGGCGCTTATAAGAAATATGTTTCGAACCGCCGCCAACGTGTGCACAGGTAAAGAGCAGAGGGAAGAATCCTCGAAACTGGCACGGCAAATAGCCATTTCAAATGGTTTTAGCTTCTCGGCATAGGTATCGAGAAAATCCCACGCCCCAGAGCGAAAATTCTAGCGAAAACAAGGCTCCGTTCCTGTTCCCTTTATTTCAAACGAAATAAGTGCAGCTATAAAGCGTTGCTTAATAAGGGCCGATCTAGAGAATTCCGTAAGAGTGATAGAAATACCACCGGACACTAAGACGCCAGCTAGTTCACAACCGCCTATACGACCGTCTATGTACAACAAAAAACTGCATAATTTGCCCAAATGGTAGAGACGGTGATTGCATGAGTTTGGGTACATTCTATCTGATGTCTTGTAAAGCGTGTGGGCACGAATATGTTGGCGAAACGGGTAGACCGCTCTGCGTCCGCATAAAAGAACACCTAGTCGGTAAATCTAAATTAAAACAAAATACTCCACTAGGCGCGCATAGGAACACAACGGAAAAGATTTTGAGGTAGGAGTAGCAATCCTTGCACAGTAATCGAAGACATCAGCGCGTAAAACTCTTGAAGCGTTTTGGATCAATGCCGAAAATTCAAAAATGAACCGCAAGGAGGAGTGTCTTGTCATCACGCGTGACCTGGCGCCACACCTCAGGCTAATCCAATGAACTGACACAGACACAGTTATCGCCCATGTATACTCTGTGCGGCGGCTATCCATCAACTATAGAAAATGCTTATATTGATGTAAACACATTCTATCTTCTGACCATTTTTCGTCTCAAAATTTTGACAAGGTTCGGAAAAAATTTCATTAAACCCTCATTTTACTGATTCATACAAGTGTCCGAAATCGTTCAAAGATTCTCTGTCATCATTTCACAACGGTTCAACGCTGTTTATTCATTCAGCAATACGACCTAATAGCCATGTATGTTGTACAAGCTTGCAATAGAATTCAGATCTACCGAGGCCATTCAAAAATAAAGTTTCTGAAAAACCCTTATGTTTATGAGTTCAGTTCTTCTCATAAGTCAATTGTTAAAAGATGAAATGAAACATTTCCGAAGCCCTTCAATGAAGGCTTTGTTGAAGTTAATAAGCAAGCAATATAGCATGGATATGCTCGTTTTCAAGAAATTCATCAGATTTTGGTGATTTCATGAAGCCACAAAACAAACTAAAACTAAAGACTGTGTGGAAACTTGTTCTGATACGGTTGGTAACCCAATAATGTGTTGCTGAACTTTTGATTAATTGCACAGCTACCTGCCGCAATTAAAGCGTAGGACCCGAAACGTCAGCTTATTCGTGAATAAAGAATAAAAATAACACCTCGCGTTTGCTCAACAAGAATACGAAGAAACTAGTGTATTATTTATGGAAAAATTCGTCTCTATTGAAAGAAACGAAAAAACTAACTACGTCGGGATGGTTTTTTCTTTGTTAGAAGTAATTTTCTTCATAATTTTTCGATTCTATAATTATCTGCCGTTTATGCAAAAAAGTTTTTACAGACAAAAAAAATAATTGCACTAATAAAAAAAGCGGCGACGAAAAGAGCAACGAAAAGAAAACTGAAGATTTATTCCTGTTAATAGGTAGTCTGTAACTGTACCTAATAGGTAACTGTTAGGTTAAAAAACTGACTGAGATGAAGGAAAAGCAAGGGCTTCAGTGGCTCCATGGGAAACACGTGGACCCCCAGAAAGATTAATCATAGGTTCGTGGCAAGCTTGGGTTCTAGGTTTTGCAGATATCTCAGCATAATTGCGACCGCACTTCACATATTAACTTGCCATGAAAAATAGTGCTCAATGAATAAAAAGTTGTAAATTGTAAAGACTCAAAGGTTCAGGTGAAGACATGGTTTCAAAATCGGCGTGCAAAATGGCGACGTGTTCGAAAAGACGGCGAAAATGACGAAGATACTTCAACTACTGACAGAACAACGACAAGAATCGTTGTCGATTCACCGACTAATCAGAATTTTTACTTTTCGAACAGATTTTCTTAAGATTCACATCTCCCTCATTTTCCGTTATCGAACGGTCACTTCTTCTAGATCACTACGCTCTCAGGATATCACTATTCTACTATCCTACTCTCTCATCACTAGTCAATGTTTTTTCTTTAAACTCATTCACCATTTCTGTTTATTTTTAACTCAATTGCGAAAAACAAATACGAGCACAAATAATTTTGAGGAAATTGGTTTATTATGAGCGACACGATTACGCAGACGTATTTTTCACCGTGTACATTTTACTAGTAGTCTATAATTGCTTGTGCTATACGGTCATCATATATACATATATTTATATATATATACATATACATACATGTGTATAAAAATAAACTATTCTTAACAAGATGATAGTCATGGCCTTCCCAGGAACTGAGAAATGACAAACAAAAATAGGACTAGCTATTTGTTTACCGTACATTCTCAGGTAATGCTAACTATATGCTTGTGGTAATAGTGGAAATATAAAGAAATTTAGTGTGTTAGTGTAAAAACCCGAAAACGTTTTCAGACTATAAAGTTCGGTGGTGATCAATCCGTGCGGGATGCGTCATGCAATCAACTTTCTTATGCGCCGTTAGAAGTGATAGAATGCATTTCTACCCCGTATGACTAGCGGTGACCATTCGTTGCATTATTTTGGTTTTTCCTATCCTCCTCAGACAAATGTAGTACCAATTTTCCACCTCCGGGTAGAGGACGGCTGAGTTAACCACGAAGTCGGGATCAAACCAATGGCCACATATTCTTTTCAGAGTATCACTAATCACTACACTATATAAGTCTCTAGTGATGAATTAAGTAGACGAACTTTATCACCGTCACTATGATTTATCACTGCACAGCTAAAGCCAATAATTTTAGCAGTATGGCTTTTCTACCTTAATATTTCAGTACAGACGAAGGAAACAATGGTACAGCAATGGTTTGCTCTGTTTTTTCTCACTTTATCACAGCAGAAATTAGTTTTCGGACGTCCTTTACGTGAACATGAATCTTATCCTGTCACCAGTCTGTAATATTATAAATGATGTAGTCGAGGAAATTTTTTGAAATCTGGGTGATCACTGCTTAACAAACACACAGCCTAATCGAATCGGAAACGTTCTTTCTTATTTTCAAGGTCAACGAAGAGTTCCATGATAAGACAGGCACCTGTGATAAATTTGAGAGCAGCACTAAAGCTCTTCGCGTCTAGAATATGCAGGATTCGATGAGCGTTCCCTTTTGTTCATTAACACGATGACAAAGTTGCCATCTCCCTAATGAGAGTCTTTTTAATTGGTTGTTTTATAGCCGCCGTTCATTTGCGTTCTGTTAACCTTATTTGTATAACTGAACTAATGTTAACAACCAATAATCTTGTATTCTGTCCATTGACTTTTTACCGTGTTTTAGAATTTTTATGTGATCGTCTGTCGTCATTATCATTGCTGCAGCCATCATCATTATCAACATCAGTATCTTCTTTCTTCTTCTTCATCATCCTCGTCTTCGTTTTCATATGCACCTTTGTCATCACTATCATAATGGTTGTCACCACTATCTTACTCCAATCTTCTTTTTTTTTTCTTCTACATACTTTTCATCTTCATATTCATAACCACCTTCGTCATCTTTATTACCATCACTAACACCATAATGTTCATTCTCATCTTTATTATCGTGAACATCATCATGACCGCTACCGTCATCGTCAACAGCATCAACCGTGACAATGACTGTTGAAATTCATGTTTACATTACCACCATCGGTTGAGTTGAATTAATATATTATCGAAAAGCTTCAGACGAGGCAAAAAACTGTTATGATTGATAAATATAAGAAGCAAATAACGAAGATGAATATGTAAAGGATCAATGGATAAAGATTAAACAAAGACGAATATCATTCGTAGCGAAACGAATCAGCTGCTAACAATTTAATATGAAGGATCGTGTTACCGCTGAGATGATCGTGTGCAGATCATTACCTAATCTATTAGAATCATTCCTTTACTATATTTTACATGTTATGAAATCCCTTATAACTTAAATAAGAACAATGAAAAAGCTTTTTTTTTCCAATTCTTCTCTCATCCTATTTCTGTAAGTACTTTCTTTCCTATAGTCGACTTCGTTTGATACCTCCATTCATAAAACAATGTGTTTCCTTATTGCCATTATAATACTTATTACTGTGAGAACCGGCATAGCCACCTTTGTACGCCTTAGTTGTCGCTACTCTTGTCGTGAAATTAATATTATTATCATTATTATTGTCACTATTATTATTATTTTTATTATTACTGTTATTATGAATACTGCAGAAGCTTTAAAACGGTTGCCAATAACATTCTTCAGCAAGCTTACTAGAAAGTGGTCTCATCGAGTGAAGAAGTCACACATTATTTATGCTATGAATCGCTTACAATTTAATGCTATATCATTTATTCACATATTTTTTAAAAAAACAAATCTGGAGAAAAACAAAAAATCTACGCTTGATATGCTTAATAAATTTTTTAAAAATATTTTTCCATGAGGAAATCATAAGTCATCAGAAAAGAGGTGGAAGGCAGTGTACAGCTGAAACAGTACAATTTTGCTTAAAACAGAGATACGGTAAATGATGTGCTACCCCTTAATTAAATATTTAGTGGATAAATATTTTTCGACGTTGAAAATCGCTTACTGTAGATGGCAATAAGAAAAGAACTCGGGTCTAAGCTATTTTAGTGTCAAGTGGGTTTTTAGTATTTTTCTTCGGATATTGTAGTTATCAAATTGTTATTAAGCTCATTTAAAAGTACTAAAGCACTGAAAGTAGTAAAAGGCATTAAATGGTAAAAGCGCATTTAAAGTACGAAAGTAAAAACAAGCAGAAAAATTTCTTAGAATTCGTTATAGTTAGACCAAGATAAGCACAGACTCAATACAGTGGGGACAGTCTGAGCTTTCAAAATTTATCGGTGCTTTTATTTTTGTTTTAAGCGAAATAATTATCGAGAGTAATTTTCTTTAAGTGTTAACATATTCCTGGGAAACCCTAATCCCTTCACCACAAGCATGTGTTAGATCTCTCGAATCGGACTACAGTTTGCTGCCTGGTGGCTAGAGAACTTCTGGCATCACTGTCGACCTCGACTAGATAAAAGTTGCTCCTGCCTCTGAAGAAACGCTGTGGCTTCTCTAAACCTTTCAAAATCGACCACAGTACAGCTTTTTCATAACTAGGCAATACGTTTTTAGACCATTAATTTAATACGAGGCTATTGTAAAAGTTCTGCTCGTCGTCTTCACCTTCTTCACTAACGTGTTGATTCTACTTCATTGTTACAGCAGTTCAAACTCGCGATACAGTACCGACTGCTGCATGATGCATTGCTACTATGAAATTGGGTTGAAATAAGTAGGAAAAAATCCTGTATGGGCTTTGCCGTGTGAACAGTGCTCCAATCCATCGGATTCGACGGGATACGGTGAAGAACATCAATATCGAGAAGATGAGGACAATTAACTCATATCGTCGCGAATAGAACGAAGTGTTAGCCGAAGAAACCTTTGTAACAGGCTCATTTTAGCTTAGCAATCTAAGAATGCACCATGGTTCTTTCTCACAGCATATCCTACACTGTTAGTTGACTTTCCGCGTTCTGACACAGTTAAAGAGTGAATGACTTTGTAGTCGACTTTAGTTAACAGTAGCTGACATTAGTCATTAGATCCCTTTTACGATGGTCTGGATGATTAGATTATTGAAGTAGTTGGCAGTTGTGCAAATTATCACGACTTCTGAGTCAATCCTGAATTTTTGTGCGTATTTAAAATTAATGAGAAAAGCTCTGGTTTATAGTTGTGATATTTCAACTTACTAATGTTCTTTATCTACTTGTTTTATTATCACGTCATTTCTCATTGAGGGGCAAGAACGACGAAAAATTTGAAGGCATTTTTACAAAATCAGGAACAATCTTGACGATCTTCTCAGACGCCGATTAACTGAGTTATTATTTCAGACGTTATATGTTACGATTTTAAAAAAAATGACTAGGCATGCACAATAGTTGTTAATGATAGTGTCCCACGATATGTCAAGGGCAAATCAAAACACCACTAACCAGTTGATAAGGCCTAAGTCGTAAAGAACATAAGACAGAAACATTATGACGCACACTGAACCTTTAGTTCTTGCAGGAAACAGTGGCTACCCATAAACGCTTAAGCGAGAACACTTTGGTGGTTTTCGATTGTGTTATTCAACGACCAAATACAGGACAGACAACGGAGAAAATTTCATAGCTTCATAGCACTACCCGATTCTTTCATATTGATCTGTTAAGATAGACGTTGTCAGTGGTTGACACGGGCATCCTTGTACCATGTAGATTTGCGTTCCATCAAGTGATAAGAATGGTGCTAAGAGTCAAGTGCCAGTGAAATCACCACTGAGACGTATCGCCTGACGAAGTGAGGCACTGGATTTTTTCACTTGAGGAACGCAATCATATTTTCCAACTTGGTTGTTTGTGTAGAAATCCGACCATCAAGTCGGTGGCTTTGCTATTCTAATGCTACTCATATTCCGTTCAATACAGTCGTTGAGGACTTGAGTTTTGGCCACTGTTGAGACGGATTACGCCGCGATACATCTGATTCTCGACATCTTGACGTGTGCGACAACGTTCTTGATCATTGACCGTCGGCAATGTTAGTAACTCGTATCTGCTCTCTCACTTGCGTGAAACGGGATACTCTCGGCATCACTTCCTCGCTAGCTTGTTCAGCAATGCTTACCGCCCTTCTATTCTGTTTGCGTAACGTCCAGGTATTCGAAGAGTACTTTAAGGCAGTAAAAACCGTGAAATTGAAGAAATTCCGCTGCATCAACGCCATGAAGTAGCCAAAAAAGGTTGACTAGTATGCTGCCGATTGTCGATGTTATGAAAGTCTTCTTCCTTGTAAAACAAAGCACTTATAATGGTTAAACTGAATTCAACAGACAGAGTGTT